GAAAACTCTAAAGTTTAATCAAATCAAAGTTTTCTTATAATTCTTTTTATAGAATGGAATCCCAAGAATGAATGAAAAAAAAACTAATAAAGTAGTAACTTTTGAAAAGTAGAAAAGATTGTGGAAACATGGGAATACAAATTAAGTATTTGAAAATAGGATAAAAAAGGGCAACAAAGACATTTCAAAATTTTAGTACATCCACTGTGGCCAACTAAAAACACAAATATGTTGAAGTTAAATATACCACCGCTCTGGCCTTTGATATATAGGCCACTCCACAACGGCTATTATCCACATTCGATGTAGCACAACCAAGCATATAGCTTCTATTTAAAGAATTGCCCAGACCATATAGTAATGGCAACCCCTAATTGAAACTTTCAAAACACCTAATTAAATGTCTACATGCAAATAATTAAGAAATTTTACTAATGGCTCCTATTTTGCCCAAAACCAATACCAAACGAGAATTTTGGAACATTTGGTGCCAAATAAGTATTGATGCTAAAAGCACCAAAATCAAGTGTCTCCTATCTTAAACTATTATCCATAAAAACTTTATTACAATTAAAAATACATTCTTAACCAAACAAACATAACAATTGACTTGCATCCACGAGTTATGAAGATTCAACTCTCCTCTCCTAAGGCTTACTATCAACTAAGAGGCTACTAAAAATGGAGGTAGATTCTAATCCTCTCAATTTGAGCATACTAAAAACATTAACCCATATACAACTCTTGACCCAATTCAAGACATATAAAATTAATCATGCCAAGGTGCCCAAATCATCATCATAGGCTACAAACAACCAACAATATAATTTATGCAAATAACTCCTAATGTTGGCAATACATTATTCAATTACACATAAAATAATTACTCGAAAACATTACAGTAGTTAGGTGTCTCTAGCCTCACCCTCTTACCTTTGTCTTAGATCCAAAATGTCTCTTGAGAAAAATATTAAACCATAAGAACAAGATCTTACAATCTCAGTAATCAAGCATATAAATGTGTGGCACATATAAGCAATTAATGTATAAATTTTGTAAATATACCATATGTATTTCTATGACATAATCTTGACCATAAAACATATGAGACAATAATAAGGATAATTATGCATGATCATATTCCATTCTTATTACTCTCCTTATAACTTCTGATAGAATTCATAGGCTATCAAATCATATAAGACTAACTCATATGACCAAATTAGCCCGCTCTTTAATTGTAAGGGTTCACCTAGCTAAGGCCCCATACTCACTTTTAGACCATGAATTTCCCTATTTCAAACTCATGGGGTGTCATTTTGCCTAGTCCAAGGAAACACCCAGTCCAGGTTAATAATCAATAACCAAAAATTAAGGCCTCACAATGTTAGTGAATACCATATGGATTTATTTAATGCCCTACTCTCTCAAGTAAACTCCCGACCATCCATGATCATGTTATATGCTCATGTTACTCAGTGATACGCCATACATGCAAACTTGATTAATTTCTCATATTCAAGTGCATGCTATCAAAACAAGGATAAATAACCAATATTTTTGGATTTCATACCAATATCATAAGCTTGTACTCAAAGATATATCATCATCATGTTCAATATAATCCATGCTTAACATTATAATATAACTATCTATTCACTTTATCACATATCCACAAAATCATGTTTATGTTAGTTAATTCATGCACAAATAAAGTCTTTGACCACAACTCCATTATCACATCATATTTAACAACCATATCGAATCAACTCAAATCAACCCTTTCATGTTTGAGAATTCACCTATTAAATACATGCTCAATAATTTAAATCCAGTTCATAAACATAATCAATCTCGTCTTATCAAAAAAGCCTTATACCACAAACATACAAGCAGCATCATTCACCAAGTCATATTCCCTTATACATTTTCCTATAGCATACCATAAAACCACTATTTACATACTATCATTGCAATCATGTAATTCAACTATTTTCACAATTAATATACTCCAATAGTATCATGCCTTTCTATAACTAGATTTATTTAGCCTAAAAAATGGCAATGCAAACATATACAAGAACTTAACTCTCAGTTAATCTTGGTTTACCACACTAAGTGTGCAACTTAGATTCTAAGGAAGCTCACAAACAATCTACAAGCTCCATGAATAGTTAATATATAGTTTAGGATTAACAAATAGTCATTAATTAACTCTTAATCAAGATTGAAGCCTAAGACCTTTGTCATATTAACCATCAAGAACTCCAATTTTAGCTTCCATTAACTCTTTTAACCTCTATTAAACTCAAACAACACTATTAAGCAACCCTTTTAGTTTTGAATTAGGATTAAGTCTAAACCCATCATTAAGGATGCTAAATACTGCCATTAGTAAAACTTGATGACTACAAGCATAAAATAACATCCTTAGACTACATCACATTCATAAGAGTTGGTGTAACTCTAAGTAAGTCTTGAACTGAATCTCTACTCCCTATAAACACAAAGGAAAATGGAAAGACAAAGAAGAGATGAGGAACCTTACCCAAGTTTTAGTAGCTCGAAACTAGCCTTCGTTGACTAGAAACGCAAGCCCTAGTAGAACTGTGGCTATCTCTTCATGTTCTCACTCTTAAACTGTGGCTATCCGAAACAAAATCTACATTTTTTAAAATCTGACTCATCCGTTGTGGCTGATGGCTTAGTCCAAGGACCCTAACTTAAGCCTATTAATTTAGGCTTAAAACCAACAACTCCTCTAGTCCCCTTCGAAGCACTATGTAGGGTTTGATGGATCTAAAAGGCCATTGAAACTCCCTAGTTAACCCCCAATCACCTTAATTAACTAATTTAATTTTTCAATTAATTTAATTTTTCAATTAATTTAATTTTTCAATTAATTTAATTAATTTCTAAATTAAATTTTGGGATGTTACAAGCCACGGCACATGCCACATTGGCCACAATGCATGACACACTTGGACATTGCTCATATTCATTCTAGGTTTTTTGAAGTGGTCCCTTTAACCTTTTCAACCTTTTTAAAACTGTTTAGACAAATTTCTAAAACTATGCTTCACTATTAAATGAGTTTTGTAACATCTTTTAGGATTTAATTAGAATTATTGCTTTCAACGGGATCCCATTTGGTACTAGTTATTTAACTTGATTTCTTCCAAAGTTAACAAGCTAGGCTTGATTTGTCATGTTTAACTCTTTTATATCATAGTAGATTCTTTTTTACCATAGTAGTCAATGTTGAGAAATTTTTTAGTTGTAAGAAAAATCATTTTTCTATTATGGTAAGTCTATCATGAAGTTGTTTTGACTCTTAATTACCATGGTAGACTTTTTATACCATGGTAAAGTTTTGAAATGCTATCTTTGTTCTTTCTATTGCATGGTAATTTGGTAGGATTTTGAAAAGTAAATTAAATCCTTCATAACTATGGTAGACACTTTTCTACTATGGTAAGTATTGACAAATTAAGTTTGGACAAATTACTTGTTTATTGGAGAAAAGTGTGTGTAAAAATTTAGAGCATTACAATTTATGAGGAACTTTTGAGTTCCTAGAGGCTTAGGCTTAGACTTTAATAAGCTTAGGCTTGTCGATCATTTTTGATTTAATTTGACTTAAATGCTTATGCAAAGTCAATAGATATTTTAATGTGCATGGTTTAGGATAGGTCTTATATTCTATCAATTTGACCAAGAACTTATCGCTCTAAAAGCCACCATGACCCACGACAACGAAGGCACCCTCAATGCTACAAGAGCTCGTGCTACCTAATGTAGAGGCAGCATTGGAAAAACGTCACGAAAAGCTTGAGATGCAGTAAAACGCAAGATAAATGATTTATCCAGAAAATATAATATAACTTAATATATCATATACCTTAATATGTCTCTTAATTATTTAAGAATAATTAAATTCCTACTGTAAAATCAATTAAGTATCAAATTTATTTTAAAGGAATTTAATTTTAAGAGTACATTAAAACCCTTTTATCATAGAGTAGTCTTTTCTTATGATGGCTTGATCATTTTCTAATATGGTAGATCTTTTTATACATGGTTTAGTTCTTTTCTACCTTGGTGGGATATTTAACTTGGATTTTAGTTATTAAATAAGTTTCTTTTCAACCATATATAGTAGACTTTAAATCTTGGTTTTTTTTCTTTTTCTACTACGGCTGAGCTATTTTAAATATGATTAACTCTTTTCTATCATGGTAAACTTAATTTTTGATTTAATTTTTAATTATTATGGTAGAGTTTTAATTTGTATATTAGTTATAAGTGGAACATTACATTCTCTAGCTGAAAACCGTAGCAGAGCATATTCTCTGCAGTCCAACCACCTTCGTATAAGTAATTGCTATATAATTATATGTTTTTATTATGATACCAGCACTATCAAATAGATCCCATATATTCTTCGCACTATCTTATATCTTATGATCTTCTTGGAAAGCATTTCTAGGAAAATTAAAAGACAATCCAGAATAGTAAAACATTCTAACAATGAGAGCTCTATCATTGCAATATTTAACAAAATTTCATTTAAAAAAATAAAATTTCAATTTTAAAGTGTTGACTAAAATTCGAGAAGCATTAGATATGTATTAAAAATTTATATATACTTTTTTCTTAAAAAAAAGTATTTAGATTTCAAATATATATTCAGGAAGTGTTGACATGTAATTGTAGATATTGGAAATACGATATTGACACTAATATGTCAAGCTATTTAAATTATGTGTGTATATATATATAGTTGATTTCTTTATTGTTTACAAGCATTCTCCTATTAGATATTATTGAGTTTAAGTCTTTAAAGTATGGTCAGGTATTACATGTGGATATTCTTTTCAGCAAGGATTCATATCTTAGTTTCTCAAGATTGTGAGAGAAATGTTGGTATTGGAACTCACGTATATTATAAATTTGAATTTATTTCTAGACTTGATACAGTAGACCATATCGCAGAAAGATCATTATTTGTAGATTTTTCTGCGTTAATATCGCCAGCTTCTTCCAGGAACATATATAGAACGAAATATCATGGGTCACAGTTTCACTTCCAAAAACTAAAACGAGTTCATATCTTACAATATTACATTACAATAAATAATACTCAATGGAGAACGCCAATAATGCAAATCACAATCAAGCATGCGATGGACCTGGCCTGGCCTTAATCCTCCGATGAAGAAATGAATTGTTTGAGCACCCCAATGAGCTTTGAAGCCACGGAATCATCAGCAAACTCAACCCCATGAGATCCCTCTTCTTCAAAATCTATCACCACATTCACTCCCTTCTCCTCCATTAATCTCGCCATCTCTATTCCTCTGTCAACCAGTGGGTCTCCTCCATTCCCGCTCACCATCACCTTCCACCCCATCTCGCGTATCTTCTCCATCTTCTCTGGCTGGTCCGCCGCCGTCGGATTAGAGTACTCGTGATCGCAGTTCGCTCCCACCGGCAACGCCAGCTCCCAAAATAAGTCACACCAACACATCGGAACAACAGGGTTTTTCTCTAGCCTCACTTCCGACTCCGTCCTTTGGGTCCCACCGAAGAAGGGTTGACGCAAAATCAGCCCTTTGATCTTCATGGGCTTCAGATCATTCACTTCCTCAGCTACTCGGAGGCCTGCATGGTAGGCAATCGTACCCCCAGCGCTATCCCCCATTACGTAGCAATTGGAATAGTCCACGAAGTCTCTTAACCAATCATCAGGGCTGGTTTTGATCCAGTGAAGCGCCTCCACGGCGTCGTCATAAGCCGCCGGCAACCGGTGCTCCGGAGCAAGGCGGTACTCCACAGACGCGACCACAGCTTCGATGTCCGTTGCCATCTTCGAACAGAAGTCGTGGAAACGAGTAGAAGCTGCGCTGAAATAGATGAAGCCACCTCCATGAAAGAACACGATGAGAGGGAACTTGTTGGAGGGATGATAATCCAGTGCTTTGCGGAGGAGGAATAATCGGACCCACGTGTTGTTTGATTGGTTAATGGTGAGATCTCTGGTGAGAACAGAGATAGGAAGGTTGGGATCAGACGTCGCCAGTGTGAGTGGATCTCTGAGGAAGCGAGTGAGAGAACCATCATCGTTGACGACGATTTGAAGTTGCTTGTAAACATCGAGGGATTCAGATTCAGTTGTTGTCATGGTAACAGAGTATGAGTCTGGGCTTATTTTCCACTCTGGATGAAGATGAGTATGAAGATTATAGATGAACTGCTTTTATTGTTGTAATCTAACTTTTCTCAGTTTAAGAGAGATGATAATGACTTATGAAGCAGCCACAATATTGACTATGACTTAGTGATGGCTTTAATTTATTGTAATTATCAATTTCGCAGATATTGTTATCGGTCGAGGAATGAATTTAGAGGGAAATTAATTAGTGATACTTTATTTTACTTTCAAGATTAATAGCTGCCACCATCATGAATTGTCTATTAGCCAAAATATTACTATTGGAGGATTCTAGTTAGTAAAAACGAGTGCTTTGTATTGTTCTTAAAACTACTATGGTTTGCTAGTTAATTTAAGCAAATGCTACTTTTTTTTTTTTTTCCTATGAACGTGTGTTGAATATTGATTTGTCAGCGTTGGTCTAGTTCTACTTTGATACAGTGAGTGAAGTGTTGTTTTGCATTACCTAACCAATCAGACTGTCGTGATCCAGACTATGGAAGATATACTTCAACTTGTGGATTGCTGTCAACAATAAATTTAGGTTAGCTCAATATCTTTATTAGCAAGCTTGATATTGCGCCCCACACATATCTTGACCCTTTATCTGAAAAAAGAGGAGAGATTAATTGGTGGGTGAAGGATCCATGTGGCATATTCCTAAGGCAAAATTTCTTCATAGAATACCATGAATGTGATGTTATTACAAATGATGAGGGCTAATCTAAAATCTTCCTCCAGGATAGAAGGACTGCAATGAAGTAAATCCGTAACTTGTTAAACTGTTGTATTAACATGTACTTGTTAAAAATATTGCATTACTTTTTAATTTTCTTACATTACTTGATAAGTTCATTATGTTTGTTGTTAATAATTTAACTTGTATTAAATCTACTCTAGCTTCTTAAATTATTAACTTATAAAATCCATTATGTTTGTTACTTGTTAAAACAAAACTATTATAAAAATAGCTTTTCACGTTGCTTGTTTAGGGGTATTTATGTCCCTCTCATGGGGGACATAGATCAAGGCAACATTAGAAAGTTGAAACAACCACATCATTTTTATGAGGGATATTAATAATAAAAACAATGTCGATTTTAATGAGAGATGTGGTTTCTGAAGAAACTAAGTCATTTTTATCTATAAAAGTGATGTGGTTAATACAAACTATATCTCTTTTTATGATGATGATCTTTATGATGTTTAGGATAAGAATTGAAAAAAATATAATAGCAATTTCCCACACTACCTTTAATGCCTATATTGATTGTAAAATAAATTGTCTCAAGGGGTAATTTAGACATCACACAATTTATTCCATAGAGCTACAGAACATTGATTCTCTTATTACGTTATGATTTCGTGGAGTTTTAGTGGAAGCAAGGAATAATTTTCATGTAAACCAAACAATGGTGGATTAATACAGTACTCGGCATCCAGTTTTTATTATATGACAATTTTTAAAAAGATTTTTTGATTCTCAATATAAGTTATATATAGTGTTATTTATTATAATTTTTTAATTTTATCTTTATTGTAAGTTTAATTGTATGATTCAATATTCATTGTGTATCTTAAAAAACACAAAACATAACATAGACCGATGAATATAAAATAATAGAGCAAAGAGAAATGAAAGTCATGGCTGCCAAGCTATTTCTTTTTGGTTTAGCATTGGATAGGAAATTTATACATTCAATTTGATTTCATATTAAATGGAAATTAAATTAAATTGATTATAATCAGTTTTATAAAATAAAATAATAAGGGGAAAAAATCACAGGGAGGACTGAGGAGGAGGTGGGATTCTCGTGTTGTGGATAAAAAAGAGAACTAAAAGAGAGAATCAATTGTGTGTGAAGTGAAGGGAAGGGAAAAATAGCAGGGCATAATGGTGAGTTGAGAAGATATCAGTCCTGTTTTCATTTTGTTTTCTACTTGCCTCTGACTCAATCTTGCATTGAGAGGAAGTTTTAGAAATGCGTATTTTATATATATCAGGTTGTTCAAGCAATAGATATCAGTCTGAAGGATCAAAGTATTAAGGCAAACTTTAAATCTGAATAATGAACCACAGTAGACTCGACCAATGCTTTATTAGAAATTAGCAATTCCACCATGCATAGCAAGAAGTCAGAAATGGACAAGGTTTGCACCAATCAAAGCTGTCGCGGGTAGTAGTGGCAAGGAGAAGAGAGAGCTACCTACCTAGGTCACTGTGGGAAGGAGAAGATGGTCGCTATGCGTCAATATAGGGAGGAGAAGTGAGAGCTGTTGTGGGCCATGGGGAGGAGAAGAGAGAACTATCGACCATCGGTCACCGTGGGGAGGGGAAGAGGACTGTTGTGGTGGGGAGGGGAGGAGGATTGTTGTGGGGAGGAGAAATGAGATTTGCTGTGGGTCTTGCTGTAGGGAGGAAAGGAGAGAGTTGCCTGTTGTGGGACATTGTGGGGAGGAGAAGTAAGAGCTACCGTGGGGAGAAGAGAGAGTTGTGCCATCGTCAAAGGTAAAGAGGGATAAGGGTTTCTAAATGCAGAACAAAGGGGCAAGGGAGAAGAGATCTGATTTAAAATAAGCAGCACAATCCATGTCATTTTGTTTGAAAAGGATGTGGATAAATTATCTACATCGCTTTTCTAAAAGCGATGTGGCTAATGTAATAATTCAATATTATATATTTTTAAAATAGATATCGTTATATTTAAAATGACATGGATTAAATTACTACATTGTTTTTATATAAAGTGACATTGATATTGACCTATATTTAACACTTATTTATAAAATTGCTATCGTCTCTATTTTTAATCTCACCTTCACAAAAAGTAACATAAATTGAAGAATGTAAAATGTATATTTTGCATTAGTGACTTATTAAATCCCTGACAAAACTTATGTAGTCATTCAAGTGAATATTTGACCTGTATTAGTTCGTAATATGTTAACCCATATACTTGGTTATTAACTTATCAATACTTGATAAAAACCCACCTAAACAAGTCAAATAGTTAATATGAACATCAAAACAATCATAAATACATTTCAATACAATGAAGCTTTTATGTCAGTTTACATTCCAAGCTTAATATGGTCACTACAAAAAAATTGAAGTCACAGCTAAAATGACAAAAAGTTGTCTCAATGTCACTAGAAGAGCTCTTGTCACTGATTCTATTTATAGTGACAATAAAAGTTGCTACTGAAAATATTCAATCAGCAACAACAAATGTTGCCACATAATGGAAAATTTATCATCATTGAAAGATTAGAATTGGAAGTAACAAATGTTGTCACAAAAGCTACACATCAGTGGCGACTATTCAGTCGCCGCCGAGTGTTGAGCATCAAGTAGAAACTACCAATCAACATTGACTTTTATGTCAACAATGAAAATTAATGCCACTTTACCTAGCCATGTGCTGCCATATCACCCTCCTACTCCCTGGTGGTACCACGTCGCCTCTACATGTTGCTTGTATCACCCTCCATGTGGTGCCCTGTCACCTTCCATGTGTCAACCCCACCTCATGTCATGTGTCATCGTATCACCAATTTATATTTTTATTTTACAAATTGCCTCCTTCAAAATTTAAACTCCTGAGCTCCTTCTTTTATGTCCTATACTTTTGCCACTAAGCTAAATAAAGCCACAATTTATTATCCCATAATTAAATATATATTATTAATTAAACAAACACACATATATCTTAAATATTAAATATTATAAAATATCATTACTATCATTAAAAACTTCAATTTAATTCTTTTAGTTTATTAAAATGGCAAATTATATATTTATTTTGTCTAAGGTAAACTATAAATATAATTAGCATAATATTATTTATATTAATTTTTTACTTTTTGAGGTTATTGTATTATTTACTTTAATATTATTTATATTTTTTTTACTTTTCGATGTGAAAATGGCATACATTGAAAGTTCATTACTTTTGTTGTCAAAATGATAGCAAAATTTTAGACAGGCACGTCACGGCGCATGACGTAGTATGAAACAAAGCGGATGGTTCTGCGCCACATGCCAAGCACACTTGTTGCACACCGTAGCACATGGTCCATTTTCAGGGTTGAGAAATTGTGACATTTTGAGTCATATGATGTGTTCATGCTTCTGTTAGCCTTTTTATTTGAATATATGTTTTGAGAAGTCGAGATCTCATGATTTTGAAAACAAATAAAGGGCTATTACTCTGATTTTGATTGATTTATTGATTGTGTGGTATGGAATGGTAAAGCATGGGTTGAAACAAGACTATATAGTCTAGACCCTGGGGACTTTACAATTTGGTATCAATTTTCTTGGTTTTGACCTGTTTGTCCATTGCATCGCATTAGTTGGCAATTTTTATACATTCACTACTCTTTTCCAGCCTCTAACACATGTTTACTAATTTTTCTACCTTTACTCTGAAAGGAGGGGAGAAAGGGACGTAGAGCTACTATAGCATTATTGTAGAACTATGAAAGGACGTGGTAGAATTCCACAATGCACACAAACTCAAATTGCCCAAGATATGCAAGATTCAGAGGTGTCACAAGAACAAACTCTGGGTAATGACCCTATTATGACATGTATGCTGGAGGTAATGCTAGACATTCAGAGAAGTCTAGTAGGCTGTGATTCCTTGAACTGTAATAGGGATCATAAAGAGTCGAGGCTAGAGCAAGAGGCAAGGCCTGAGGCTAAAGAAAGAGTAAAAACTGAGCAACAACTTGAGATACAATTTAGTAGGCCAGCAACCTTCTATGCTATAGGGAGCAGGCTAGTGACTGGTAGGAAAGATCAAGAGATACCCATAGACTAAGTCTAAAGGACTTTTTCACAGTTGAATCAGCCAACTTTCAATGGCAGTATGGGAAAGGGGGATGTTGAGAATTGGATAAAGAGGATGGAGACCATTTTTAAGGTTACTCCATGTTCCTTTAAGCAGAGAGTGGTGTTAACCACAGTACAATTGATAGAGGATGCC